AATCCCATGTTCTTATTACAAACAAACGTTAAAACAAACACCAAATGTCGATGTTTGGAACAGTCTGGTTGACACATGAAATATGACCATATCAGTCAAGCATTCAAAAGAAAATTAAAGTTTCTACCCACTTTAAGTAATGGATAATGATTATACTTGTTAGTGGCAGGTCATTATCGGAAAGTTAGTACTGTTAAATTGTAAACCGGAACTCATTTAGAAAAACATGTTTTAATGTAAATATCAGAAACCTTTTTATTGCCATGTGAAGTAAACAGGAAGTCACAAACTAGGAAATTGCTTTGAATCACTGTGCAAACAAGTTAAAGCAGAATTAAAAACAATAAGCATAAAAAAATTACATTAAAATTATGTCTCATTGGACTCCAAAATATGATCAAAATTCCATTCTGATTTCCATGTGTCCATAACACGGCCCCCAAGACTGTTCTCCTCACACATGCACCCTGATCTTCTAACATTACTGCACGTTAAATCACACAGGTGTGACAGTATCCAGCACTTGTGACATTTAGGCCCACGTCCAACTCTCGCACTTCCACCTAGCGGTCCCTCATTTGCGCGTTCCTGATGATGGGTGCGACTGCGTTAGGGCGTCCACAATCTCCAGGGAAGGTCTTTGGCCCCCGCCCCCTTTGCGTCCCTTATCCACACTTTGCCGTAGCGCATCTAAGCGGCCCCTGGCGAAGGATATTGCCCATAATCTTTAGCGGTACCACCAAAACGTCCGGGGAAAATGTATTTTAACTCATCTTGGTTTAATAGGTCATAAACTAAATCCAGTAAGCATGTCTGCAATTGCACGTGTCCCGCTATTTCAATCCCAGATGTCTATTGCAGTGTCTCCAAAGTGGGGGTCCGCGGCCCCTGGTGGGCGCGAGGGTATCTGCAGGGGGGCCGCGGGAGGTTCATAAAAAAAATAATAATAATTTTTGTTTGTAATAATTAAAATATTTGTGTTCATTATTTGACTTGAATAATCAACTGTAATCATTTTTGTATTACAATGTTTGTAGCAGAGGCTATTTCCCCAAAAATAAAATAACCAGAAGTAGCCCTCATCTTGGTTATTATTTTGGGGGGTCACGCAGACCCGTCAGTTAAGGGGGCCTCGGTGTTACTGAGTTTGGAATGGCTGGCTTTGGTTATTATTTTGAAGCCATATTTTATCTAGCCACCAGGGCCACTGAATGGTTTGGCAGACCCGTCAGATTCTTTACAGCGGGGGGCCTCGGATTGTTACAGATAAGAGTTTGGGATCAGAAATGGCTGGCAATATGGGAGTACTGTTCTGAAAAATAGGGCTGGCAGAGTCCATGAGTACAAGTGTACGTTTTGAAATAATTTAAGCAGTCGGAGTAAATAAGTTTTGCTCCTGTCTGGGAAAAGAAGCTTAAGTTCGTATGAAGACATATCGGAATTGTATGTTAAACAATTTATAACTTTTTAAGCAAGCGTTCATATAACATTCAATTTAAACAGTTGTTACCGACATTTAAGTAAAAAAACATACAATTATGCAGTATCTCAAATTTACAATATAACAAATTTACATGTAATTTTAAACTGTGTGGAGCAATTCATTTTTTTTTCCCAAAGGGTCAGAAAAAATGGACCTTTAATTATTATAAGTATAGGTCTGGAAAATGACCATCATCAGACAAGTGATGACGTAAAACTGCTCTCAGAGTGCACTGTCAATTCCGCTTTTTTGCACGACTTTTTAACCTGCCACTCAACCCTGGTGTGCACTTCGAACAAATGCACACTTCCTAGAGGTGTGTTGGGTTGCAGTAGTGGGCGTTGGCTTGGACCATATAGAGGCTCGGAGTCACATTATGGCCTCTACATTCATGTTTATATTTTGCATGTTTAAGTATACCACTTTAAACACTGAAGGAAACATGGACAAAAGGATCATGTGAACTTCAGAATTTAACTATTGTAACATTTGCTCAATAAGTACAATAAAATCAAGACGTTATTTGTATTTGAAAGAGCATTACAAAGCTGAAATAAGGTCCAATATGTTTTATTGTGATGAGTTCTAGGAACATCCTGTGTGTATGTTGTGTGTTTGTGTGCAGGTCGTGCGTTGATCACCATGGCGTTGAGTTGAAGCTCGTTGAAAGTTACACTGAGCCTCTTTCAGGGAACAAGGCCTTATTACACAGTATTATATAAAGTAAGATCACGTTCACATTTTTAACAAACAGATAAACTTTCTCACTATGGAGACAGTTAAACTGTGAAGTTGTCATCGGGAGAGTTCATACAGGACTGATAATCTAACATGGGCATATCCACACTGTGTTTTTATGAATTAGATAAAGAGGAGGACCCCAAGAGAGTGAGACAGAGAGAGTGAGACCGAGAGAGTGAGACCAGAGAGAGTGAGACCAGAGAGAGTGAGACCAGAGAGATTGAGGACCAGGAGAGAGTTGAGACCAGAGAGAGTGAGACCAGAGAGAGTGAGACAAGAGAGAGTGAGGACCAGAGAGAAGTGGAGACAGAGGAGAGTGTAGACCAGAAGAGAGAGTGAGACCAGAGAGAGTGAGACCTGAGGATGAGTGAGACCAGAGAGAAGTTGAGACCAGAGAGAGTGTGGCCAGAGAGAGTGAGACAGACGAGGAGTCGAGACCAGATCGAGAGTGAGAGTTACCAGAGAGAGGAGGAGACACAGAGAGAGTGAGACCAGAGAGAGTGAGACCAGATGAGAGTGTAGACCAGAGAGAGTGAGAGATCTGTGAGACCAGTGAGAAGTGAGAGGTCCAGTGAGAGTGAGAGACCAGAGAGAGGTGAGAGACCAGGAGAGAGTGTGAGACCAGAGAGAGTGAAGGACCAGGAGGTCCTTGGAGGAAGGCTGAGGACAGAGCAGCATTTCACTGAAACACCGTCTCCATGGAAACAAAGGACAAACTGGACTAAATTAATGTTATACTGTCCCAGCTTTCTCTGTGTAAACTGCCTAAAATAGATAGTATAGTGAAGACAATACAAAGTGTGTAATTCTAACAGAAGGACATGGTTTATCTCGATGGTTAAGGAACGCAACCATGGAGGATTGGAAAAACGTCCCAATCAGCATTCGCACGGTGCCAGTATCTTCAACCTTAAGATTAACCAAAAACATGTTGTGGAAAGAACTGCCTTGTGCATAATTGTTTAGAATGATGAGCATAAACTTTAACCCAGCTGATTCAAAGTGTCATGAGAATCTCTAAATTAGTTCTAATGCAGATTAAATAAAATATCGTTATGGATCTTAAACTGGGTAATGTACATGCTACATTTTCCATAGATACGATACTCAGATATGTGTTTAAAGACAGAACTAAATGCAGAATGAAATGGATCCAAAATCTTAACATAATTGAACTACATAATGTTACTTATTGTCATACTTAGGGCCACAGAGGTGTCCAATACCGGTCCAGACCCAACGGAGCAGAACGACTCCTCCATTTTTCATCAAATCTTCAGGTTAAAACTGATCGCTTATTGAGGAAATGGGCGGAGTCTGCTTGCTCACTGCTGGGTGATGTCGAAAACCTGAAGCCACTAGTGGCCCGTTCTGGACCGGTATGGACCTCTAACTTAGAGGTAAGGTTGGGCACTTCCGTACAGCCATCTATATGAATGTTTTAAAATATAGTGTCTGTGGTTGATCTCAAGTCTACAAAATGTAGTCCCATGTATCTATCTATATGTTGCGTTAATGTTTTATGCTTACGCTAACCTGTGAAGCTAATGTGTTAATGCACCGGAATGCCCTAGTGTGGCAGTGACGAACCACCTGACCCTGTTCCTCACTTGGTGTCTGGGCTGGGAGTTAATCCGGTTCGATATGGAGTTTGGTGAGCCTCCCACATCCCTCCGTCACGTCTGTAAAGTTAGTCGAGCCTCGTCTTACTTTGTCTTGTGAACTCCCCCCTGGACGTCCCGTACCTGATGTGCGCGCCGTACATGCCTGAGTACTACAAACCTCACAACCTGTGGACTTTGAGGAGAGACTGCCCAGCTCCGACAGCCTCTCTTTGCAATCCTTTCACCTTTGAATCCACCAAACTTGGAGTGGGATGATAGCGACATCGCCCCGTCAGTGAAGGTTGTATATGATTTGTTATTCTAGTTTAAAGTTGGTATATGAGGTCAGATAAGCGACATTATTGATCTCACACTGGGACTAATGGGTACAAGTTGTGAAATGGTTATAGGCACATTCAAAAAACTTTCTTCATCCGGTTGAGGAATTTCATTTACAGACAGCACCAGCGGCGAGTCCATTAAAACACAGAAACCTATCAATGTTTAATACATTTAACAGAGCCCGAAAATTAAAATTAAAAAACACATAAGAATGTCTCCAAATCCTGCGTTTTAAAAGGTGAATTGTATGCGGGGAGGAAGCTGGGATGTGGCTGTTTGAATGGGAGGGATATGAAAACTATGCCCTGATGGGAGCAGACTAGTGCAGGGAGTGTCGAGCTAATTTCGGTCAGTGGCCAGTTTAAAAATGGTTTACTTTTTTACCATTTATTTCATTGTGTTTTTCACATATTTTTGTAGTTTGACAAATTCATTTTATTAGAAAATAAATTGTTTTCTAGTAGTTTGAAATTCATTATAACTGGACCAAATATCAAAGAATTGTAGTTAGATATGGGCGGGCGACAGTGGCTCAGTTGGTCGAGCTTTGAGCCTGAAGGTTGTGGGTTCGAGCCCCCACAAGACCTACTTCAGACTCCCACTGATGTGCAGTTGTTATGTCCTTGGGCAAGACACATTAACCCCACATTGCCTGACCAGCCCCCGCTGAAAAGATCCAAGCCTCCTGATGGGACTCAGCACCCGCAGGCGGATCAGTGAGGGGCTGGTGCTTCATGATTCGCTAAAATGGTCTTTAAGGGCTGAATTATGCCCACGGCCTGAGTTTTGGTCATCGGCTGCTCGTAGTTGTGAGAGAGTGTGGGAGGTGTATGGGGGAGATCTGGAACCCAAAGAAAGAGTGATTTTACACTAGGGAGAACACAACAACTGTCTTTAAACCATTTCATTTGCCGCCCTGAGATTCGTGTTCATGGTACTGCTCCCGGTTACAGTCATGTGTTTGCTTTTATTTTGTTTTTAGTCCATTGAGTTTTGTTATTCTCGTTTTTAGATTTGATTTTGCCGACATTACCCCGTGTTGCAGTCATTGCCGTGTGCAGACTGTAAGTGGGCCATGGTGGGTGAACCTTTCCTCTGATTAGTCTCTCACTCTGTTTTTTCTCTTGCACATTGTTTGGTCTGCGCATGCTCTGGATGTTGCACTTGTTCACATTTCTATCGAGTTAAAGACTGCGTACATTGTGAGATTAATTTTGAGGGAATTGTGAACGATGCAGAACGTATAAGAAGTGATTTTATAGTATGTGTAGATGCAATGAATGTACTGCTGTAAAATAACAAATAACAAAAGTGCTGCTGTTGTTCTGTTTCAGATTTAGGTTTTTCTTTTCAGTCAAAGGCATGGTCATAAGGTCAACGTGGAATTGATAAAGACTTTTTCTTCGACCCATTATTGTTAGGGAAAAGACTTAAATACAATGTGTCATCTCAAGTTAAACCCAAAATCTTTACCAATCTGGTGTTTGAGTTTTGACTGGTGCCATTGTGTTGAACTACATTAACAGACTTTTTACACTGAGCAGCTCCAAACAAGCCGACAGTGTGTGTGAAGGAGAAATTCTGTGACTCTTGACCCGTCAGAAGGGATGTGACAGCTGGTCTGCCACTCTGGAGGATACCGACCCTCAGACGGTCCGAGGTGGACCCAGTGTGGCCTCCACGTTTGTCCGTCAAATATGGGATTTACCTCTCCTCACAGCCCCACTTCAAGACACAACCTTTCAACGAAGACTCAGACACCAACAACCCACGAACCTCTGCGGACATCACCCCCGTCCACTGTGGCCAGCACCACAGCACGGGCCCCGCCAGGAAGACATGGAACCTAACAGCAACGAGCTCGAGAGGTCATCAGGTATTACTTCCCTCTGACTCACACGTGCACTGATGTGAGTGCACTAATGTGAAGTTCAACTAATGTAACATGCATAATGTAACACTGCAACTGATGTTGACGTGCACTGTGTGACGTGCCACTAATGTGGTGCTACTAATGTGACGTGCACTTAATGTTAACATGCACTGATGTTGTCGTCGCACTGATGGACGTGCACTGATTGTGACGTTGCACAAATGTGACGTGCACTAATGTGACGTGCACTATTTGACGTGCACTAATGTGACGTAGCACTAATGTGTACGTGCCACTCATGACACGTGCACTATTGACACGTGCACTAATGACACGTGCACTAATGACACGTGCAATAATGTGACGTGCACAATGGACGTGCACTAATGTGACGTTGCACTAATGTGACGTTGCACTAATGACACGTTGCACTAATGACACGTGCACTAATGGACACGGTGCACTAATGTAACGTGGTGGGCTTTTATTTGTCTCTTATGCAGAATGGCCCGAAGAAGGAAACCAGCCTAGAAAGCGCAGAGGGAAAGGCTCCACAGGACTCCAGCTTCAGCATCACAACTCTGTGTCCTCAGAAAAACAAGGAGCTGGGGGTCTCGCAGGAGAGCACAGACTTGCACATGGACTGCAACCATAGGACCCCCAGTTGAGGGAGAGAGGTGAGGAGCAAGTGCAGGGACTGAAAGGCTCCTGGAGGAAGAGGAGCAGCGGGCTGCGGCTGCCAAAAGAAGGCGGACTCCTCCAGGGACGGTTGTTGGGAATACTCTGCGTGATATCAAGGACAGGATCAATGGGGCTCTGGTCTGGAGAGAGTGGGGCATTTGGAGGGAGGAGCATGACTTCGGGGCGAGTGGAGCCACATCACAGCAGGCCCTTTCTGGAGGAACTCAGCAGGCGACTGCGCCCGACCAGGGACATGCACAGGACCGGCCCCATACCCCCTCACAGCCCACTTCCCCTCTCTCCAGCCCCTACCTTCAGAGGCATCCATGGCCGTCAGAGAAGAGACCTCTCTCGCCCACTCAGTCCAGAGCTGATTCCAGCTGTAGTGGCAGACCATGACCATGCCAGAGCAAAGCCAGCCACAGACTGTTCCAGTGGCCATGCGGATGAAGCGGATGCAGAGTGGAGAGAGTGACCCTGGAGGAGTTTTCCAGTTTGATACTGGGGAGACACACTGTGCAGAGACAGAGCAGCAGCTCAGCACTTCGAGGTGACCATACAGCAGAGTTCAAGTATGAAACCACAGCTTCCACTCGCACAGGTCTGAGGTTTGGGACCAATTACTAAAATCTATTCTGTTCATGTTCATGCTAGAGTTGACAACATCCACCCTGCTGCTACTGATGATCCACGTGTTTAGAGGAAAAATGAGGAGCAACTTTTAAGTATAGAAATGTTGTGTAGTGAAAGGAAAATAAATGTCATCTCGGGCTCGTGGGTTCATGAGCTTTGATCCGCTTGAAGATGCTGAGAATGAGCACTGGTCATCTCAGGGAGGGAGACCTGCTGCCGCCATCTTCATGTTACTCACTGATCGTTACATTTACCTGACTGCGAAAGGAGAGTGGTGCTTTCACATCAGATATTCTTATTTAGAACTTCAACTAAAACCTCTCATTATTGGTGCTGCAGAAAAGCCCAACAACAGTCGAAGATGCTGTTTCCTACAATGAGCTGGATATATTTCTGTTATTGGTGTTTTTATGACAGTGCTCTAAAAATATTTGCTCTGAGTCTGGTTTCTCACTTTGTTGTTTGGTGTAGGTGTCGGTCTAGACCAAACAGGCTCTGATTTTGTTTGCACCAACAGAAGGAGAAAAAGAAAGTTTCTCTTGGAAAACTGCAGACGCCTCGCTCACAATGTAAGTCTTTTCCAAAAAACAATGGTCAGGATTTCTTACAGGAGCCTTTATTTCACAAACTAGAACAAAAGGAACATAATGGCCTGTGTTTCTCCCATGACGTTAACATTTTTAAAAAAAATAAAGTTTTCTTGAAGGAATAGTTTGTGAAGAAAAGATCAAGATCCTAAGACTTATAACCGTTTTTAGCCCTAAACTGTTCTGTTTAGCTGTGCATACAACGGAGGGATTTTATAATTTTATCTTGGTTTAATGTACTGTGATAATTTAGATATATTTAGGATTTGGACGTGTACAAATGTGTATCCTTATGACTCTATATATAATTGTCTCATGTTTTTTGTGTGCTGCTGCTGTCACGTAATGAATTCGGTCGATTGTGAAGGGATGTTCGAGAGCCCCCCGTCTTACCCACAGTGCTCACAGACGCCCCGATGGAAACTATGCTCTGACAAAGTTCGTGGCTCAGGATCTCAGTGAGAGGTGAAGGCGTGGTAGTTTCCAGCCCGCTTGCGAGTCTTGGCCTTTGTTCTCTTTGACCTGTCTGTAGCGCTCTGTTTTGGCAGGTGGCATAGGTTTGCATTCATTGTACTCTCTGGTTCAATGGTGAGGCCCTCTGGACACCTGCCTGTCACCTGTCGTACCCCAGCTACAAAGGCTCCAGCATCCAAGAAGGCACATGTCCAGTACAAGGGCCCCGGGACCACCTACCCTGGGCAAGAGCAGTGGAAGAGCTGCTACCTCGTTCTCAGAGTGGATTGAGGCGCTTGACAGGTTGGAGATCAGGGGCGAAGCATATCTAGCCAAAGTTCTACTTTATATCTACTGTCAGCCAGAGACGGACATTGTTTGTTTACTCTCCTTCGTATGCCAAGGTCAAGATTTCATAAACAACAAACTCCTTTGTAGTCCTGAAGTGAGTCTATATAAGTCAGGTGTGACATTAAGTAAAGGCCTATTAACCCTAAATGTATTGTAAAAGTAAATAATACCCCCTGTGATTGTGATTCAAAACAGATTGCTGGATTCATGAATTCCCCTACTTCTAGAACATTGCTCTCTGCTTGTTTTTAAGGAGCAAGTTATGACATATGGCCAAAAAGTGGTACTGCAGCTTTCCCATCTCCCTGACTCAGGTTGCCAGATATGCAGACGAATCCAGGATGGGACCATACACAGCTGAATAGACAAGAGTTTTGCAACAACAAATCTATATCCAACACCTTTTTCACAAAGATAGAAAAATCCTGGTTTTATTCCTTGTTTTGTCGTTAATGATTTGAGAATCATAACGAGACCTTTTTTAGTTCTGCGCCACAAGGTACTTTACCAGTGAGATTAGCTCCACGCGGTGAGTTCTGGCGCCCGGATCACAGACAGAATTTTGATTGGTGATCCCAAGGTGGAGGGCGGGACATCGAAATGAAAAACAACAAGAATTTAGAGGCATGTCATGAAGGGCCTTTTAATGTTGACTTGACATGAAAATCTTACTTATTGTTACTTTTTGTGTAAGATAAATGATTTTTCTCATTAACGTTAAGATGCCCGGTTTAAAAAGGCTGTATATTGTGTGTGTGTGTGTGTGGTAGCAAAGGAGCTTCTTTTTACTACGAGCATACAGACATGACTCATCTGCAGTCTGTGACCATGGGGTAAGCCATCTCTCTGTCAGAATTTGTTTGTCCTTTGTCTTGCCTTTGACCTATTTGTGGTTGTTGGTTTTTTGGTTCAGAGCAGAGTGAGCACTGTGGAGGCTGCAGACGCTCAAACATCACCGAGCGACCTAGCGTTCCAGGTCATCCTGACAGAGCGCCCCCGCTGGAGCTGAGCGATAGTATTGAGCAAAAGAATTGGCTGAGTGGATGCAGCTGCTCTGCCAATCCTGTGTTCCAAGGGGGTTGGAAAGGTATTCAAGTCCATAACAACAATTTAAAGCTGGGGTAACAATACTTTCAAAAACCAAGATATAGCTGTATGAAAAGCTCCTATAAAAATAGTTATTTGTATTACACATGTTATTTTGACTTGAAAAAAACCCAGCACTTGTCACTTTTTTATTTATAATTTTATCTGCACAGGACCCTATATTTTTAACCCTCTAACTGTGTTCACACTTCTGTCTTTTGCAAGATCTGGAGTGATTCTATCTGTGACAATGTGAAATGTTCATTTCTCCATCAGAGATCAATAATGTTTATTGATTTCTTCTCTGACCACATCTTTAGATCATATTATTCAGACTGAAAATTTAAAAAAAGACGACACACCCCTCCGCTGAAGTTTCAACTAGTAACATACTTTCTTACTGTCTGAGATTAGATCCCTTTTAGACAGAATGCTGCAAAGACATTGGCAAAAATGACAGTAAAAACGATCGTAGTTCTTGCTTGTGGACCAGTGGGGGGCAGTGTAACTTTATACACCGACCTCCAGCTGTAGAACCACTTCCTCAAAACGTCCTCCTCAGGCCAAAGACGGGAAAAGAACCAACATTCTGTAACAGCAGCAGTTGGAAGAGAGAGACCAGAGAGCGAAGACCAGGGGAGAGCGAGAGGACCAGAGAGCGAGAGTCACAGAAGCGAGAAAGCCCGAGACCAGAGAAGCGAGACCATGGAGAGCGAGAGACCAGAGGAGCGAGAGACACAAGAGGCTAGGTGACACGAGGGCGAGAGACCAGAGGAGTGGAGACCAGGAGGGCGAGAGACCAGAGGGAGAGAGACCAGAGGGCGAGAAGAGACCAGAGGGCGATGAGAACCAGAGGGCCGAGAGGACAGAGGGCGAGAGGAGACCAGAGGAGCCGAGAGGACCAGAGGGAGAGAGGACCTCGAGGGCGAGAGGACCACGAGGGCGAGAGACCAGTGGGCGAGCGAGACCAGAGGGCGATGAGTCATAGAGGGCGAGTGACCGAGAGGGAGATATGAGAATTGAGACCGACACCCGAGGGCGACCGAGGAACGAGGAGGGCGAGAGACGAGATGGGAGCTGAAGAGACCGACTGAGGGCGAGGAGAACCTGAGAGTGGTGCGATCCGAGGACCGAGAGGGGAGAGACGAGAGGGCGAGAGAGCAGGAGGGCGATCATGGATAGCAGAGGGCGACGAGAGCATGAGGGCGACGAGGGCGAGAGAGCGAGAGAGAGCAGAGGGGCGAGTGAGCACAATGATGGGAGGGGGCGATGTGAGAAGAGGGCGGTGACCCCCAATATCCCGAGAGCAGAGGAGGGCGACGAGAGCATGTGGGCGACGAGAGCAGAGTGCGAGAGAGGACCAGACTGTGCGACGAGAGACCAGTGTGCCGAGAGAGGACCAGAGTGCTGAGAGAGACCAGAGTGCGGAGAGAGACCAGAGTGCGCGAGGAGCCAGAGTGCCCGAGAGAGACCCAGAGTGCGGGAGAGAATCCAGAGTGGCAGAGCAGAGACCAGATGTGCGGAGAGAGTCCAGAGTGGCGAGAGAGACCAGTAGTGCGCGAGAGGACCAGAGGGAGTTGGGGGAAGGTGCCAAGGTTCAGACAAATGTTTTCACCTGAAACAATCGTCTCCATGGAAACGACGAAGGGACAAACTGACACCAACTTTAAGGTTTTACAGCAACAGCGTCTTGTTAAACGGGGCATTAACAGGTTAAAGAAGAATGTTCTACTTCGGGTGTATCTTCAAGACATTTGTCCTCCCAATCCTCAATTCTTTCAGGTGATGCGTCCAATAAGACAGAAGAGTTTTGTTCAAAAAGTGCAGAGTGAAAATGTTTAATAATCTCTCCTATAGACCCTTTAACTGTTTAGAAATTGTTAAAAGCAATTATAGCCTGGTGTGGATGTGCAGGTGATCCCCAGGGAGTGGCCCCCCAACCCTGCCATCCTGCTGCTTGGTGCTCACAGACATGAAAGCTGCGGACCTGCACCAGGGACTGTCAGACCAGATTCTCGCTCCATGGGCGCTGCTGGCTCTGTGATGACACTCTCTCGCGGTCAGCTAGAGGCAACAAGGAGTACCTGCATTATTGTGAGGACGCCACAATGCTAATAATATAAAATAAAGTTTGAAACATTTGAAAGACATGAAAAATGATTGGATTCGTTTGCTTGTGTTAGGTATTTGCTGCAGACCGAAGCCAGTTTTCCCTCCTTGGGTTTTTGTATTTTAGTGATGTGATGAAAGAGATCGACTGCTTCACACTTTATAACAAAGCATGGCTTAGGATCACTTTACCAACGGTAATGTTTATTAAAACCGGATGGACATTCAGATTCAGATGATTTGCCATTTGCAGTTTAAAACCAGTCTTACCATGTGTAAACTCTGGGGTTCCATGGTCTCTCCTTCGTACGTCTGGTCTTACCATGTGTACAAACTCTGGTCCATGGTCATTATCCCACATTGTTACGTCTCGGTCTTACCATGTGAAAACTCTGTGGTCCTATGGTCATTTCCTACATGTAGATGGTCTTACCATGTGTAAACTTATGGTCCGATGATCTTTTCCTACATGTTAGTTGGTATTACCATGTGTAATCTTGGTTCCATGATCAATTTCTACATGTACGTCTGGTTCATACCAGTGTGTAAAATTGTGTCCATGATCATTTCTACATTGTACGTCTGGTTTACCATTGTGTAAAACTCTGGTACATGATCATTTCTACTTGCTAACGTCTGGTCTTACCAATGTGTAAACTCTGGTCCATGGATCATTTCTACATGCACGTCTGGGTCTGCTGATCCTAGTGGCAGCCAGTTTCTCGGTTGATTCCTCTCCGACCAAATTCAGAGAGCGGGGGAGGGGGGGTTGTAGGTCGGTTGTCGGTGACGGTCAAGAGTTTGTGCTGATTAATGGTTGTAGTTTGTCGGAGGATTGTTGAAGTAAAATAATCTGTTGGTTCAAACAAATATCAAGAAACTGAATCGGGCAAGAGGAATGTTTAGTAAATGGTCACTGAAGCGAGATGTTGTGGCTCTACTCCCCCGGGCTCCGTTAGTGCCAAAGGCAGATGGTAAAGCTAGGCTACATGCTCTAAAGCTTGGCTACAATGTCTAAAGAACTAGGGCTACATGCTAAAGCTTAGTCATTACATACGTCACAGTAAATAGATCCAATGGTTTCAATCTGCACAAAGGAGGTTAGACCTCCCACATGTTAACGGAGTTCAATGGAGCATAATCCAGACCTTAGTACAATGAAATGAGTTCATTGGTGTGTGTGGTCCGACCAGGCTAATAAATCCACATTGGGAATTCAACAATATTCAAAACTGTTGTATTGAATAAGTGTTTGTATAAGATACTCAGGACGCAGAGGCCAGGGCTCTGTGATGCTACGACAGTCAAGTTTTGCTAATTGCTAGTTTGTTAAGGTGAAGCTTACGTCGTGTGTCAAGTATAGGCAGGCTAACCACTCTCAGACTTGTTACTAATGATTGATTTATACTTTCACATTTCAAGCTGAGTCTTCGTCACAGAACTGTGTTTATACAGAAACACGTCCATGTTGCTGATTATTTTGGGGACAGGGCTTTCTAGCTCTGCCTTCAGGTTGTCCCGCTCCATGCGAAGCTCCTCCAGGACAAGTATGTATTTATTCCCCAGACCTCTCCAGACCACTGATCTTCCGCAGGTCCCGGCCGATCACGTAGGAAATATTGTACACCTCCTCCACGGTCAGATCGAAAGCGTCCTTCTGAAAAGCCACCGCGGGCGACGTCTCCGCTCCAAACACCATGACGCGGACAAAAAAAATCAACAAATGAATTAAATAAAATAAAAATAAAAATCAAGGAAATGTAAGCTGTCAAAAGTGTCCGGTGTTCTGTCGCGGACGGGAAAGTTTCAGAACAGCACTTCCCCCATCACTGACCACGTGACCGCGCTTCACGAGAGGAGGGCAAATTATCCTAGCGACAGGTGAGCGGGGTGCCAGGTTTGCACAGAATCAGCAAGACAGTCACTCACACAATTGCCTTCAGCCGTTGTAAAACTTCTCGTTGAGCGACTGTTGCTATGAAAGCTATGAAATGTGCTATTTAAACACATTCTCCTTCAACCCACACAATTTTCAATAGATAACATGTCCAGGCATAGATTGATTGGATGATATTCTCTCAAATGTTGTTCTTTGTTTCATAATTTTGGGACAGCTTTGTGCTTTTACAGGTGTCTGGACTTGGAGTGAAAGGGCGCCCCCCAGTGGAGTTCCCTGGTTCGAGTCTTTCCTTTTCCAAACATGTCCAAAGACGACTGTTTATTTTATTCCCCAATAATAAAAAGTAATTGGTTCTAAATTTGTCTTAATATTTATAAATAACTAAATATAACATGTGTGAAATGCAGTTTAACAGACCCCAGCTAAATGGAGGCTGTAATTCGGGCGTTCTGCTCTCCCAAAATTCCATCCGATGGGCGGGGGAGCGACTGAATTTTGCGTTGCATTATGGGTAACACTTGCCTTCGCAACTTCCGGTTCTCTCTGCCCGGCGCATTTTCTCTAAATGGTTGAGCGTTTTCGTCATTTTCTGTATGCAAATACATTCCCGTCTCTAACTAGTGGCATATCGCGCAAATCATCCGTCCAATTCACATTCTTCCCTCTTAGCTGAACTTCATTCTCATTGTTACCATCTGTCACTCGCACACACAGCCGTTTTCGTTCACTCTGCTCGCTGTCATCTTCTTCTAAATCTTCATAAACACCATCCGCTCGTTGAACTAGCAACAACAATTCCTCCTTTCGTTTTCCCACACTGCAAATACCCTTTCGCTTCAACCTTTCACGCAATTCAGGCACTGTCAATCGTTTGTTGTTTTCGTGAGCCATATTCGCCATTGTATGAAATCAACCGGAAGTGAACTGGGCAACAAACGGTGTCATTTTTTGATCACAGCGCCGCTCAGTGGATGAAATTTTTGGAGAGCAGAACGCCCGAATTTCACAAATTGTTATTTGTTTTTTATTGTTCACATTATTCAGTCAATGTGAACAGCAGAAAAAACCTGTTATTTTATCTTTTGAGAATTCATTGTAATTCCAGTCTGTGGCCACACGAGGGCGCTTCTCAAACTCTCGTGGTCATACCATGGATGTATTATAATGCCTACAGGTGGGTCTGCACTAAACACGTGCGGCTTTGATTATATATTGATTACATACACAGTTAAATCATTTAGAAGCATCACCAGTCTTTTTAAAGCACAGACATTTGGACTAAAAGTAATGAATAAAAGTAAAAAGAGGTCCAGTTTAAATGGCATGACTTTTCACCAAACACATGTGACATTTAAGAATATTTTAAGTAACGAATTATTCCGTTACACTAAATTACTCGGCTCGGTCTATTCCTAGTGTGCCGTCACCACTTCTATAACTCTGCCCTAACTATGTCAAATTTAACAACTCACATTATCTTTTGTGTGCCCTTGAAGGACCAAACTGGACTGACAACATTCGCCATGTCTTTAAACAAGTGGTGCACGAAGAGCAGCAGAGGCACAGGAGGCAAGAGGATTCAGGTCTACTCTTGTTAGGATACTTTGTTTATTCTTCTGAAAGCACACAAACTCAAAAAGACAAAAATAATTCACTTTATTATTATTTTTTCACAATACCCTCAAACATCTACATTTAAAAACACATGCAGGACTAAAGTGACAATAGCATGTCAGCACTATTGTTCAAAGTACTGTTCTTTGGGGGGGAAGAAGACACGATCAATATTCATTCTCCAGTTAAAACAAAACAAGAACATTTAAAACGTATAAAAAATATATAATCGTGATCTTGTCCATGTGCATTTGTGCTTAAAATAATAAATAGTGTTAAAAGGTTAGCTGATGGAAACCAGTCTTCTTATGGGCATCAGGGCGGGGTCATCAGAGATCAGACCAGCTGCCACCATGGGCATGATGGCCGTGAAGATCCTACACACACACACACACACACACACACACACACATGTACATACACACACACACACACACACACACACAAACACAAATACATCTGTCAACACCAAAAAAGCATTTGAATTTAAACTAAAATACCACCTTTCTGTATTGTTTACTGATTTTTTTTAGGGAGCATAAATGACTGCATATTAAAGGGGCTATACCTAATATTTTACCATCTTAACATATAGTCCAAGTTTACGCAAGTAGTTGTGGATGCATAGACTGTAGAACAAGTGGACTAACTGACCCATATGGTTTTACTAATGCGGAAAATGCAGATTGAAGCCAACTCAAACTGGCTCCAAGAGTGGGAATGTGCTGCCAAATGACATAGCAACAACCTAGCAACCAAAGAGCCAATCAGGAGTGATGTTAGTCCAGCTCTGGTTCTCCCAGTCTTGCACAGAAGGCAGGACCAGAGTAACACACGAGTCATGATCATATATAACTCATGTATATACATATTGTATACGTTATGACCAAACAGTGCGCTACTGATCAGAGCGGAGAAAAGGATTTAAAAGTTTAAAATGTTTAGAATGACAAGGGACACTAAAATCCACACGAGATCTGACCTTTGAGGCCTATTGTGATAGCATCGACTTTTAACTCAAAGGAGAGGTGGGAAGCTCTGTGAAAGTGGAGGTTACATTATAAAAGAGAATCAAGCAGGCGGACGATGCTTTAGTTTACTTTAGCTCAGCAATAGACCCGCAAGTGGCTCAAGAGCTGCTTATACATTATATCTGCACATTAAAGAGCCTCTACTTGACTTTTATACAGTGACTTTTATACAGTGACTTACAGTTTGCGTATGCCGGACTCGGGCTCCTCCTCAGCAGCAGCAGCAGAGTCTGTGTTATCCTCGTATGGACCACACACACTCTCACTGTAGTCCTCGTCACTCTCCCTGCAGCACACAGCAGAACTGGGGCTCTGTGATCTTCAGGAGGCAGGATGATGTCCATACAGTTTTTCGTTCAATATTTTTGGATCATGTAGATAAGCCCTTATTCTTTGTGGGGGGGGGGTAAAGCTTTCAATGAATAACACATTAAGGTCTGGACCGGGGGTTTGCAAACGTACACTGAACTTACAGCTGCAGCTTTGAGAATTTTACAAGTTTATCTTAGAATAAACTGTAATGTTATCATAAAAAAACTATTGTGCAGATTAGAGAAACTATGAAACTGGCCTTGAATATCTGGCATTTACGTGTTTGGTATTAATCTCAATGCAACTCGTTTTGATGAATGGAGCTTTGAGATTCGGTGGATTACATACGATAGTCTAAGTGACCCCACATCTTTGATCGTCCGTGCATGTACATACTGTTTGTAGTAGGCCAGCTCCTCCTGCAGCACCAACACCTGGGCCTTGAGCTGGTTCTTCTCATACAGGACGTCCCTCAGCTCCTGGAGGGTAAAGTGTGGGGCCTCTGACTCGGACCCATCACTGTCTGTGTCGTTTCCCACAGATGAGAGATCCTAACAACAAGACCATTTGTATTTAATGGAGACATAATGAATCCACTTGATACAGCCTTTGACAGTCACTATTGTTTGTCAGTTAGTTAGACACCTATAATTTATGTATTTATGCGTTTGTATGGACACCTGAATTCTCCTACAGGGGATCTATCCATTTTGCCATGGTTTATATTAGCTTACATAAGAGAGACCACTGCTCCCCTCTGACTCCACTGCCACTCTAAAATGCCCATAACGACTTTTCTCCTTATTTTGAGAAAAGATTAGTTGAACCGGTCATATGCACTTTAATGGAACAACTTCAGAGTATTTCAACAGAGTTTAAAGTAGCTCGTTAGAAGCTGCCTGAGGACTGTGGATTACATTACCCATGTCAAAAGGTTTGGTTGCGTCTCTTCGCAGTCCGCTTTGGGCTCTTGTTCAAAGCAGTTGGCCAAAAACTGTGGATCTCCCGCGCACACTCCACCCAGACCGACGAGGGCGTCTTCACTGTGGGGTCTGAACCAGCGAAGGCCTGAAGGCACAAAGGATGGAACATGGTTGTGACATTTTCACGGTTCAAATACAGTACCTCCGTCTCAGGGTTTTTCTCCTCATTCATGACCTTCTATTGACGACAACTCATTAATGGGCAATAGTTTTGTTTTAAAAGGCAGAAAACTTATGTGGTACTAGGGGTGGGAACCTAAGGGTACCTCACGATACGATACGATACACAGCTCACGATAACGATAATATCACGATAACGATATTACGATAACAATTTTATGACGATTATTGATATATTGGTCAGAAATATACAATATGCCAATTTATGGCATAAATAAAAGAAAAAATACACTTTATTTTATTATAAATAGACTAGAGATACTTAATATATGGCTACATTACGCATTGATACCAATTAAAAAAAAATCGATATCGATACTTGGCAAATGCATATTGATAATCGAATATTTTGGACAAATGTTCACAGAGCTTTTGAGATCTGAACAACCTATCATTTAATTAACAGAATAATCGGCCACTATCACTGATCCCCGTCCATCTCCTTTCCTTCCTCCTCCCGTTTAACCACACTAAGAATCTCTCCTCACCGCAGTCTCCGAGCTCACGTGTGTCTCCAGATCCTGCAGCTCTCTCTGCAGCCGGGACACCTCCCGCCGCAGCTGCCCCAGCTCCTGCGTCCGTGCCTGGGCCACAGCCTCCATCTCGACCTTGCCCTGCACCAGAACCTTCCCCTGGGCCTCCACCACACTGAGCCGGTGTTGCAGCTCCTGGTTCATTTTCATCACACGCTTCTGCTGCAGCTGGAGCTACCGCCACAGACAGAGAGGAGACCAACGTGAGAAAAGTCCCGCTGAAGCTACACACGAACACTCCAAGCACCGCCTCCTTTATCGTATTTATGTATTTTCTTCAAGTTATTTTACATTTGCAGCTTGAAACCACAAACTTGTCTATTCCATTAATGATAAAATAATAATAAAAACAGTAGAAACACAAAATACCAGCCAAAAATATTCTACTGTGAAAGTCAATGTATTCTTCAAGAGTCCTTTTAAGTGTAATTCAACTTACAACGTGAAACTAAACTTTTTATATTTTTGAGCTCTGTCAATAGTTCCATGTCAGTGTTTCTCCTCATAACTTATAATGTTTTTGTAAAGTCTGGAGTTAAATTAGTGGTGTTCATTTGTTTTCCAACGGGGAATTACAATCCAACTGTTGTTTTGTTTGTCATCCACAGAGACTGACATAGATGGACAATGCTATCCCACAAGCTCAATGAAGACCAATAGTAAAGTGCTCAAGGACAAAGTTTTTCACCAACTGGCTCCGGCTCCTATTGACGGACACTGAAAAGTAACTCAGTAACTCGTCACAAACGAGTCACTGAGTCACACACTCATTTGGTCTTTACCATCTTAGCAACACCTCAATAATAATGCATCATATTTATACAGAGCTTTTTTGGACTCTAAGTCTCTTCACATCATTATTCTCTCTCTCCAAACACAGTGGTGCAACAGCTGCCCTGGGGCACACTGATAGAAGCGAGGCAACCAGTCTGTGCCATCGGCCCCTCCCACCACCACCAACCATTCACACACACACCAGACTCACTCTAGGCAATGGGGGTGAAGTGACCTGCCTAAGGACACAACGGCAGTTTGGCACTTTACAGCCGCTGCCGCCCCACTGCCCTGTTATGTTGCAAAGCTAATGGCGTCAGAACAAATGCCCATATAAGGACATTGGCTCCAACTAGCTTATGTTTAAAACATATTTTTCCACATTCAGCAAACACTGAGGTCACGTCCACGCTCTAAGCCTCTCAGGTCGTCTCCTCGACAGCACTCTCACACAGAGCTGCAGAGGGGTCCGTGGTGCTGTCGGCCATGTTGGACTCACCGCCTCCACGTCGTCGTTCCTCAGAGAGAGTTCGTGTTCTGTGGACCGCAGCTCGTCCCTCTGTTTGTCCACCAGCTCCTTCAGCTTCTGCAGCACTTCTCGCTCCTTCTCCGGCACTCCTGCACTCACACCACACTTCATATACTCACTGTAATCCACGATTCCACGTTACATCAGAAACAGTCCTTTTTGACTTTTACTCATATAAGTTAATCATCTTAAATTATCTAGCACACACATCACTCTCATTGTCACATATTTGACAGTAACTGTACTTTTACCGAAGTCTGGGGCTGTAGCAAGTCCATTTAAATAGTTGTCAACTAATGTAGTAATCGATTCATCATTTTCTGAACCTTACACAGACTTGTGCTGAGAAGAGGTTTTATGACTTAAATTACTTAAATGACTTGAATTAAATATAGATTTAGGATAGATTGTGTGATCTTTTGAAAACACCAGATTATAACATAATGTATTATCCTTTGTTGCTTTGCTCTAACTTATGTCCAGACAGTTTCCACTTTCCTGGACCCACCACCTCTGCAAAACAAACAAGCAAAAAGGACTCAACTTTGATTTATAATGACTTAGCATTAGCATTTATTTCCATCGGCTGCAAACATCATACGCTAGCAGCTAGTTTATTAATCAAATTGGATGCTGACATGTTTATGTGACTCACTTTGAGGGGCAGAGGAGTAAACGTTGCAGCAAATGAATCCTGAGCCTCCGTGGACTCGCACAGGGCTATATTTGTCTTGTGGTCTGAAATAGTTCCTTCTGCCCTGGACTCATACTGACTGCACTCAAACACAGACGTCTGCACCATTGTACAGTTAAATATGTGTAAGGATTGCAGTACAAGCATAGACTGTATATTAGAATTTTAGAAGTCCAAAATGGTGAGTGTGACACAAACGCTTACTGAGCGAGAGGAGTTTACTTTTCAATGTAAGGAAACAGGAGCCAGAAGGAGTTGGAGCAAAACTTTGTTCATGAGCACTTCCCTATTGGGCATCTCTATATATATGTATTGGAGTACATACCTTTACAGAGGATGAAGAGACTATGACATTATGTGGGTTTTCTACGACCTCTCAGCCCGACAAGTTTAAACAAAACTACATATACAAGTAGTACTGGTATGTTTGTAATCATTTAAAGCAAAATGCAGAAGTATTTTGTAGATTTAAGTCTCATCAAACCCTTTTTCACACAATCAGTTCCTGTTCCTGTCTCATCAAAATAAATCCAGATTTTTCTTTGAACAATCTCGCTGAATCAACCCACACTAAAAAACACAAAGTAAATATCTGTGGCCATGTCCTGCGGTGAAACGGGCATCATCAGAGCAACGGTGTCTTATGTGTGGGTCAGAGGAAGAGCGTGTGGGTCAAAGGAAGAGCGTGTGGGTCAGAGGAAGAGCGTGTGGGTCAAAGGAAGAGCGTGTGGGTCAGAGGAAGAGCGTGTGGGTCAGAGGAAGAGCGTGTGGGTCAGATGGAGAGCGTGTGGGTCAGAGGAAGAGCGTGTGGGTCAGAGGAAGAGCGTGTGGGTCAGATGGAGAGCGTGTGGTTCAGATGGAAGAGCGTGTGGGTCAGAGGAAGAGCGTGTGGGTCAGATGGAGAGCGTGGGGGTGAGATGGAAGAGCGTGTGGGTCAGAGGAAGAGCGTGGGGGTCAGATGAAGAGCGTGGGGGTCAGAGGAAGAGCGTGTGGGTCAGATGAAGAGCGTGGGGGTCAGATGAAGAGCGTGTGGGTCAGAGGAAGAGCGTGTGGGTCAGAGGAAGAGCGTGTGGGTCAGAGGAAGAGCGTGTGGGTCAGATGAAGAGCGTGGGGGTCAGATGGAGAGCGTGTGGGTCAGAGGAAGAGCGTGGGGGTCAGATGGAGAGCGTGTGGGTCAGAGGAAGAGCGTGTGGGTCAGAGGAAGAGCGTGTGGGTCAGAGGAAGAGCGTGTGGGTCAGAGGAAGAGCGTGTGGGTCAGAGGAAGAGCGTGTGGGTCAGAGGAAGAGCGTGTGGGTCAGAGGAAGAGCGTGTGGGTCAGATGGAGAACGTGTGGGTCAGAGGAAGAGCGTGTGGGTCAGATGGAGAACGTGTGGGTCAGATGGAGAGCGTGTGGGTCAGAGGAAGAGCGTGTGGGTCAGATGGAGAACGTGTGGGTCAGATGGAGAGCGTGTGGGTCAGAGGAAGAGCGTGTGGGTCAGAGGAAGAGCATGTTGGTCACAGGATATAGTGTGGTCAAGTGTCCAATACAGATGGACAATGCTAACACAGACTGTATACAGATGGACAATGTAGTAGTAATCTTTATTTATATACCGCCTTTTCACTGCAGATCTGAGTCTCAAAGCGGTTTACAATTGTTAAATGCTAGGTCCTGGTCCTCTGATGGGTCTGGTCCTCGTCTTCTGATGGATCTACTACTGCTACTGCTGCTACTACTGCTGCTGCTACCGCTGCTACTGCTGCTGCTACTGCTGCTGCTACTGCTGCTACTGCTGCTACTGCTGCTGCTACTGCTGCTACTGCTGCTACTGGTGCTGCTACTGCAGCCGCTACTGCTGCTACTGCTACTACTGCTGCTGCTACTGCTGCTACTACTGCTGCTACTGCTGCTACTGCTACTACTGCTGCTGCTACTGGTACTAATACTGCTGCTACTACTACTACTACTGCTGCTACTGCTGCTACTGGTGCTGCTACTGCTGCTACCACTGCTGCTACTGCTGCTACTGCTGCTACTGCTACTACTGCTGCTGCTACTGCTACTACTGCTGCTGCTACTGCTACTACTGCTGCTACTACTGCTGCTGCTACTGCTACTACTGCTACTACTGTTGCTGCTACTGCTACTACTGCTGCTGCTACTGCTACTACTGCTGCTGCTACTGCTACTACTGCTGCTAATAGTGCTGCCGCTACTCCTGCTACTGCTACTACTGCTGCTGCTACTGCTGCTACTTTTGCTGCTACTACTGCTGCAGCAGTAGCCATGTCGCCTCGTACGGTCGACACGGCTCTTTGCTGCTCTCTTTTTCTTTTGTTTTTACTTTTTAACTGTGCATCTGGCTGTTCCTACACCCGTGAGGAACTTATACCGCCATGCGCGGACGCAGAGCAAGTACTGTGTATGGAACGCTTATACCCGGACTCTCTGATTATTATCCTGGGGGATTTTAATAAGGGGAAACTTGAGCCAGGAATTACCCAAATACAGACAGTTTATCAAATGCCCGACCAGAGAGGAGAACACTCTGGATCACTGTTACACCACTGTGGGCGGAGCTTTTCGCGCTGTTCCCAAGCCAGCCCTCGGCTTCTCAGATCACTCCATGATACATCTGGTTCCTGCTTACAGACAGAGACTAAAGCTCTCGAAACCTGCAGTGAGGAGCTCCAAAGTGTGGTCTGATGAAGCTGTGGAAGAGCTGCGCACATGCATGGAATCTACAGACTGGGACCTTTTCAGAGCTGCCACAGACAGTTTGGATGAATACACGGACACTGTGACCTCATACATTCACTTCTGTGAGGATAGCATCATTCCAACAAGGACCAGGGTCATCTATAACAACGACAAACCCTGGTTCACTGCTAAAGTCCGGCAGCTCAGGAAAGCAAAGGAGTCTGCTTTCAGGGAGGGGGACCGCAGCGGCTACAAAGCAGCTAAATATCAGTTCAGGAAAGAACTGAAAGCAGCCAAGTCCCGGCACAGAGAACGACTACAGGAGCAGTTTGGTAACAACGATACTGCTTCTGTCTGGAGGGGCCTACGGGAGATCACCAACTACAAACCCAAAGCCCCCCCCTGTGCTGACGACCACAAGCTAGCTGATGAACTGAACTTATTTTTCAGTCGCTTTGATGCTGCCCCTGACACCTCTCCCTCCCCCACCCCCAACTACTCTAACGACCCACCCATCAGCCCTGCCCCCAGCCTGACAATAGCCTCTAAAGAGACTAAACAACTCTTCTTGAGGCTGCACCCCCGCAAAGCTCCTGGCCCGGACCACGTGTCTCCGGCCACTCTGAGACACTGGGCCAGTGAGCTTACTCCTGTGTTCACTGACATTTTCAACACCTCTCTGCAGTCCTGCCATGTCCCGGCCTGCTTCAAATCCTCCATCATTGTCCCCGTCCCGAAGAAGCCCAGGATCACAGGACTCAATGACTACAGACCTGTAGCACTTACGTCTGTCGTCATGAAGTCATTTGAACGCCTGGTCCTCTCCCATCTCAAGTCCCTCACCTCCCCCCTCCTGGACCCCCTGCAGTTCGCCTACAGAGCCAACAGATCTGTAGACGACGCCATTAACCTGGCCCTCCACCACATCCTACAGCACCTGGACTCCCCGGGGACCTACGTCAGGGTCCTGTTCGTGGACTTCAGCTCTGCCTTCAACACAATCCTGCCATCCCTGCTCCAGGACAAGCTCTCCCAGCTCAACGTGCCCGATTCCACCTGCAGGTGGATCACTGACTTCCTGACGGACAGGAAGCAGCGAGTGCGTCTGGGGAAGAATGTCTCGGACTCTCGGATTATAAATACAGGAGCCCCACAGGGCTGTGTTCTTTCTCCCCTGCTCTTCTCCCTGTACACCAACCACTGCACCTCCAGCCACGACTCCGTGAAGCTGATCAAGTTTGCGGACGACACCACCCTCATTGGACTCATCTCCAACAACGATGAGTCCGCCTCCAGGAGGGAGGTGGACCGGCTGGTGTCCTGGTGCAGTGGTAACAACCTGGAGCTGAACGCCCAGAAGACAGTGGAGATGATTGTAGACTTCAGGAAGAGCACTGTCCCCCCGCCCCCACCCTCCGTGATGGACTCCCCCATCACCTCTGTGGAGTCCTTCCGTTTCCTGGGCACCACCATCACCCAGGACCTCAAGTGGGAGCCGACCATCAGCTCCCTCATCAAGAAGGCCCAGCAGAGGATGCACTTCCTGCGGCAGCTCAGGAAAGCCAAGCTGCCTGCACAGATGTTGGTGCAGTTCTACACGGCCATCATCGAGTCCATCCTCACCTCCTCCATCACCTCCTCCATCACCGTGTGGTTCGCTGGAGCCACAGTCAGGGACAAACAGAGACTTGTTGGAATATTAGAGGCCTCCTGCACCAGTTAAACTAAAATCAGTTTAGTATTGTTTCTGTTGCTAAATTAATACTTAAACAACTTAAACGTCAGAATGATTAGGTCTAGAAAGCACTTGTTTGTGTAAATTTCAAAGAGCAGTTAGGTCAAGGTTATTATTTCTGAATAGTAGCAGTTCTGTATGAAAAGTGAGAAAAACTAGAGTTGTTTATCAAGCAGGTGCAGGTTTTGGCAGCTGGCCAGAAGAAGTCATAGAGACCACGAATCTGTGATGTCAGTGACCTTGGATGTACAGTATAAAAGATGTACAGAAGGAGGCACGGGGGCTTCTTCTGACCAGGAGGGTGAAAGACGTCCCCGGGGCCACTTCTTATCTTCAACGCGAAGCGAGACCTGTGTTCGCAGACCGTTACTCTTGTAATGTTGCTTGCAAATCTTCAATATAACATCTGAAATCAGGTTTGGTGTCTGTCATTTCTATTACTGTTTTAACATTGGTATTGTCTCTTGTTGAACTAAAAGAACCTACAGGACGAAACGGGCTGTGGTGCTGCGGCCTCTCTGCAGCGTCCAGAGCAGGGGAACCCTGACAGATTTACTGCAGAATCTGGCGTCGCTCGAACAGGATTCGGCAAGAGACACCAGGGCCGGTTCAGGGGAAAGATTAATTTGGCGCCAAAGTAAACGGTAAGAATTGTTACCAACTAATTAATCTTTCCTCTTGACCTGACCTGAGACCTAAAAAAAAAAAAAAAAAAAAAAAAAAAACAAGTAGGGTGAATATTGAAGGATTTGCAAGTATTTTATATTTTATTGGGATGTTAGTATTCAAGTCTAAGTGACTTAAGAAAAGGAGAAAACTGTGTGTTTTATCTCAGTGATTAATAGTCAACCTAAAGGAGAAAAACTGTGTGTGTATCTAAGTGATTTACGAGTTAAAGGAGTGAACTGTGTGTTTTATCTCAGTGATTTAATAGTTAAAGGAGAAAACTGTGTGTTTTAATTAAGTGACAATAGGGAGAGGACAGGGAAAGTGTCTCAGTTCTCACTTTTCTCACTTTTCACTTTCCTCTGGGTGTGAATGAGTGTTGATGTTTTCTGTTGAAGTGACCATTGCACAACGGTCACAGTGAACGCAGTAACTTGGGTCGCGTAGGACGGGGTCACGCTTCGTGTGTACATTCCCCCACCACATCTGTGGTCGAACGGGGGGATACCACGATCTGACGCTCTTAGATTACGCACCCAATTGCTGATTCTTTACATTGATATTGATAACACAAGGCTTGTAATATAATCTATCTATCTAAGTATCTATCTATATCTATCTAAGTATCTATCTATCTATCTATCTAATCTAGAAGGTAGAAAACATGGCATCTGTAACATTAGATGAGTGGATAAAGGGGATTATACAGTATTTAGAGGGAACAACAGAGATTAAAAATACAACAACAAGGAGCATTAGGACATGGTTAAAATCAAAAAAGAAAGATGGTGTTTTAGCTAAGTCAAATTCACCCCCAAGTGAAGGGTTAATGAAACAACTAAGAGAATTAGTTTTGGAGAAACGTTCTCAAATGCAAAGAGAGAAGCCGTTAGAAAATAAGAAAATTCAAAAGTTGACAGATGAGGTTACACTGATCTCAATGATGATCAAACTAAATGAAAAATTGATGACTGCTGCTAAGTTGCAAAGTACAGCTCCTGATTCTTCCCCTCCACCGTATGCTCCATTGTATCCAGATTTAACAGAATTAGTGAAAAGTCCACCCTCCTGTGGACTCACCACCTGCAGAAGGTCAGTGAGGGGCTGGTGCTATGAGACTTGGGTGGCATCTCTGACTGTCACCCCCCTGACCCAGAAATGGATTAAAGGGTAGAAAATGGATGGATGGATAGTGAAAAGTAAAGACTCTGTGACAATGGCTCCAGTGATTACATTTGAAGAGCCAATCAAATGTACCGTGACTAGCACAGAAGAGGAGAATCTGGACCAAAAACACTCCCAAGTGGCGCTCAGACAAGTACGGGAGGTTACGGCTCAGACTAACCAGCTTCAGAAACACATTGATCAGGTTGGAGAAATTGTGGCACAAGTGGCTGAAAGACAATTTAATGACACATTGACAAGACTGGAAAGTGAGCTTAAAAACCACACGATTCAGGGAGGCCCATCTCACCCGCAGTACACCCCAGGGACTAGGGGAAATTCATTTGCAAATGGTTTTAATGGAAAAAACTTTATTAGTCATTCTAGTCCAAAATTTGAAGAGAATACTTCTCAGGAGGGAGCAGAGCTGCAAGAGCAGAGGGCGGGAGGAGTGACAGCCCAGAGGAGCGAGGGAGGCGCAGACAGAGAGGCCCAGAGAAGAGCAGATCAGCACTCAGGGACAAGAAAGAAAACAGATTTAAGAATCAGCTTTCAAAAGCCGATTACAGTTAGGAAAGAAAGACAGCATCGTTATTTTACTCGATCTAATCAAACTGTAGATGCAGAATCAAGCTCGTCAGACGAAGATTTATTGATGACCGGCTCAGATGCGTTTGTAACAGTTGAACACTCAGATGACGACGGTACGAGTGGGGAAATTTATTATCAACAGGAAAGGCGACAGAACAAGAGGAAAGCTAGGCGCAGACAAGGAGAAGATGTGTCGATGTGTCCAATTGTGGTATCAACATCTAGGTCCGGCAGAGAGATCAGGACATGTAAACCGCTAACTATAACTGAAATTGACTCTATAAAATTGAGAATGAAAGATCCAAGGCATTATGGGGGCAGAGCATGTTTGTTGTCAATCCTGGAACACTATCCTGCTCAAAATTTAACCCTAAATGATCTCACTACCATCCTCGGTGTCCACCTTCCAATCATGTCCCCAGGATTTGAAAATGTTGCAGTTCGAGCCACAAACAGCTGTTCAGTGGAAGCATGGTATTCAGCTGTGATGGAAAAAATGGAAACATTATTTCCTGTGCCCATGAATGCTATGGAAACCATAAATCTAGAAGTGCAAGATGGAGAGACAGCCGAGGCCATGAAGCATAGAATAAACAAAGAGTTTGATGCACTGTATCCAAGAGAGTCCACCCCAACCTATGATTTGATCAAAAAAAATGTTCTATCAGCGGATGCTGAGGGAGCTACCAACAGCTGAAAAAGAAAAACACATTCTGAATTTGGATACTGACTCACCAGCTTTTGTGAGGTCATTTGTACTATTAAAAAGCTACTTCGGAAGAAAAACAGCCCCAAAACTGATGATAGTTTGTCACTGATTAAGGAATTAGTTAAAGAGATTAAAAAATCTGAACCAAAGCCAGAAAAAGTGGAAAAAGCAGAAATGTTGTTTAGTGGTAATCCAAGTCCACTGCAGCCTCAGACACAGACACAGGTGATGCAACCACAGCAGATTATACAGACTGGACAAACACAGCAGCAACCAGATTATGAATGGCAAATGACATGCCCTATGGAAATCAGGGACAGAGGTTCCAGACATTCCCCAGGAATAGCAGAGGTAGAGGTGGTGGACAATTTAGACAGGACAGAGATTTATCAAACATGAAGTGTTACAGGTGTGGACGGTACGGACATATAGCAAGAAACTGCAGAACGGGAGGAATGCAACACATGCAGGGTCAGGGAGGTCAGCAGCAGCAGTTTCCATTTCAAACATACCAACAACCACAAGTGTACCAGGCACAACCACAACAGCCATACCAACAACCACAAGTGTACCAGGCACAACCACAACAGCCATACCAACAACCACACCAGGCACCACAACAGCCATACCAGCAACCACAAATACACCAGATGTATCAGGCACCTCAACAGGTACAACCACAACAGCCAATGGTCTTGGGCCAACCACAGCCACAGTATATGACCACTCACCAGATGACAGAGTCAAGACCAGAGGTCGCTGCTCATCAACTCAGTTTATTACCGAAATGAAGGGGCCATGGTCCAGACAGAGAGGGATGCATTAACGTGGCTCCAAAATTTATCACAATAACAATTGAGGGGCAGCCTCAGAAACTGTTGGTAGACACTGGAGCAACATTTAGTTCATTAAAATGCAGTCTAGAGCCCTCTCAAAAGTGGAAAATCGTGTCTGGATTTAATGGTTTGGCTACAAGAGTTTTTTATTCAAAACCTCTAGACTGCACAGTTACCTATAAATCAGGAGTAAAGCAGACGTTCCAACATGAATTTCTGATAGCCCCAAACTGTCCCCACAACCTAATGGGAAGGGATTTGATAAAACTTTTGAAATTGGATATTTCTTTCCAGAATGAAATTGAAGTGTCAAATGAGTTGGGCATGTTAATACAGGATTGTGGTCTCGAAACTGAACTGTTGCTCCAGCAGGAACAAAAACTTAAAACACCAAAAATTGACGATAACATAGCCACAGTTTTTTGGCTAGAGGGTAGTGAAGAATCCAATGACACATTGCATGAACTAGTTAAGCCATTTTTGCCATGGATTACTGAGAGATGCAAGGACTTGCGGTCTCCAGTAGATGTCATACACTGTACACAGGCATATTTCAGGCATCCAGAAGATCAACAATCATATGACAACTATTTGATTGAGTGGGAAATGTACAAGACTAGTGCATGCCAGACACAGGGAGTAGAAGATCCTAAAGTGACACAAAAGCTGAATTGCGTAGTGGTGGGAGAACATGGGGTGGCGTTTGCTAACACAAATTCAAACACAGACACACTCCCAATATTTAGGGTTGACAAATCCACACCACATGTAACAATGATGATTGAGTCCAAAGCAGAGGCCAAAAACTTAGGTCCAATGTGTGCACTGATATTGGCCAGTAATTTAAAACCAATGTGTGTGCAACAGGGACAATTACAATACATTGTACTGCATAGTGAAACCACAGGAGGTTATGTGATCAAATTCACTGACCCAATTGAATATAAAGCCACTATGCAGGAAGTCCAGAGAACAAGGACACATGGCAGGGAAAATACCAATTCAAACCTATTTGAAGAGCA